ATATATATATATATATATATATATATATATATATATATATATATATATATGTATTATGTATATCAACTCAGCTTAATCCTGATATTACATCTAAGTTCAGTTATGTTGTGTAATTATCGAATTTTTGTTAATGTTTTGCTTCATGCATTATATAATATATTGTGTACAAGTATGTCTACATACATGATTGTCGTATGCCGCATATATACTTTACATGCATACTTAATTATTAATGAAATTATTTCGCCAATTGCTTTATCCTAGTTCTTGTATTATTATTCTTTCACACCCTTTGCATAAGTTGTAGTCTAAAGTCGGTTATGTTTATGCTTATTTTCGATTATAGTTTGTTTAGAAAATTTTTACATAGCATTAGCAATTCTCTTTTTTAAAAAGTTAATTATTGTGAATAAAATAAACAAATTGCAAAAATTAAATCCAACAAATATACAAAATTTCCAAACTAACGCATATAATACTCTTGTAACTCATTTAGCCAATTCGTCACTTTGCATTTATTTACTGAGTTACCAAAATATCTTCGGAATCCGCTCAAAACCCCTCTTGGCTCACTTAGTAATTTTCTTAGTTTTAATATCCTTTCTTTATTAATTTGAGTTCAATTATGATTTTGGTAAGTACTTTTGGCCACTATTAAGGCTCTTGTCGCAGAGGTTATCGAAGCGATTCAAGGACGACCTCTCAGCATCGAATTTATTCATAAGCCCCATAGAAGTTACTAAAACAAAGAATAAATAAACATATACAACATAAATTTGCAACCTATTTGAAATACAAAACTTAATATTAATTTTAGCTAACAAGTTCCGATGATTCAAGTCAATTTTTCCCTTTGTTTATTTATTCATATACATTTCTTTTGAATTCCGCTTTGCCTCTCAGTTACCGTTAACGTTTTTATTTTCATATAAAATAAAATGCAGCGCTTCTAAAAATGAAATCTAGATCGAAATAGTCTTGTTTTGAAATATGTCATAAGGTTAAATAAATTATTACGTAACTGTGATGTCTGAAGTTTTATTTACAAATATGAAGGGCATCGATAAAATTTAAAATTAACTAACGCGAATTATTGATAATCAATCTACGTTTCTCTGACTGCCCGTTAGAGATTTAATATTCTAAATATATATTATTGAGTTTCACTCAATTATTTCTGGATGGCTTCTACAAAATAAAAGGAAATTTTTGATAATAGGATATATGCTCTACCATCAGGCAAATGTAATTGTAATGAGTGTTATTTTTATGGAATAGAATAGACTTTTATTTATATATAAAAATATAAAAAAAAAATAAAATAAAAGTAACTAAGTAGTATTTGAAGCATCGAGGCAGTCAGTAGACATCTCTAAGGCTTATTTCTTATCCACTTTTGTTGGCATTGCAACTGTAATTGTAAAAGAGGTAATACACATCCAATTGTAAATTTATAGTCAAGGCCAGGTGATTATTAACAAGTAAGAAAACTCTAGTCGAGACTGCTCGACTAGGAGATACCCTGAACCC